GAGAGGCTGTTGATGGACTATCTGACTTCCGTGGGGAACCCCCCAGGAAGGACGCAGATTAGAGGCAATTCCAGGCGGGAGGCATTTCCTAGCCCAGCGACCATTCTGCCAGCATCTGAAGCATGGCCCTGGAGGAATTGTCTTGGGCAGAAAGGCACTAAGATGCCAGTGGGCTAGGGCTCTACTCCAACCAGAAATTTTCTGACAATGGAAGATAGCTCCTGAACTCAGAAATGTGCTGTTTTCTTGTAGTCCCTTCTTTATTATTAAAAACTTGAAAAATCAAAGTAATAAGTTTCTGTTGTGGGGGATGAGGGCCATCCTTTAGTTCCTATAATATTTACGACTGTGTCACTCATTAGATAATAAAGTGCATCTTTAGAAGAAGATGTCCTTCTGGCCTTTCTGGGTCTAATGCTGCATAACATCTAAGGGCAACAGCCAAGCAAATAATATACAGAGCCAGGCTTTCATCCCTGTTCTGAGTGATTCTCTTTAGCTTCTCAAAATTCACTGTCTTACATGCTGCCACGTGAAGTCCTTCTGTTGTACCCTGAAAACAAGCCCCATGATGTAGTCTGTTGTCAAGAAGCGGGCAAGACATCTTTTAAAAAGAAGTGCTTTTATTTAAGCTGGTACCCAGTGGCACAGTGCAGATGGAGTTTGCAAAGCTGTGCAACTGGGTTAGAATTTTGACAGATTTTTATAGTTTGTTTACGATTAGCTCATTGACCATTAAGTACATAGTGATGAGAAACAGAAACAAGGTGGAACTTTGTTCCCCTTTGCTTGAGGTCAGAGGCATTTCACAGTGGGTGGTTAGCCAATTCATAGCCCTTGGTCTGCCAATTCCAGGAACATTTGTCTCTCACAAAGGGAACAATGGTTGACACAGCATCATTTGTCTCTTACAAAGGTTGACACTGCAAACAGGTTACTCGGGGGATGACCCATACAGAACAGCATGACAATGCGGTCAGTTAACTATAACTATGTGGTTGGTGCTAGGGGAACGAGCACAGCATAGAATGACAATACTGATAATAGCTATCTTTTTAACTATTTTTGCTAATAACTATCCTCTCAACTAACTATTTTAGTTTTTTAGAATTTTAGTACAACACTTCTATTAATAGGAAATCATGTAGTCTCATCCTGCTAGGGGCCCAGAATCTGCCTGAGAATTCCAATTAGGATCCTCCCAGAGTACAGCTGTTGTTTCCATTGTAAGATCTACTTCATGTAAGTGTTGTTCATCTCTGTAAGACAGAGTCAGGGACATCATTTGTTCCCACTCTTCTGCAGAAAGAGTGGAGCCAAGCATCACATTTAACTCAGACCAGGATACGCTATATGACTGAGTTAGGTATTGAAACTCTTGAATATATTGAGTGGGATCTGAGGAGAAGGAACCGAGAAGGTTGATTCAAGAGACATCTGTCAAAGAGAAAGCAACTTGAGCTCTGACAATCCCCTCTGACCCTGCCACCTCCCAGAGTGGGAAACGGGTGGACCAGGAAAACGCTTTTGAGGCCAGATTGTAATTTGGGGTTGGATGTAGTGTGCTGGGTGTACTGTGAGTAGTGTATGGAACAGGTATCTGGTCAGCAAGAGGTCCTACAGGATGGGAGAAAATGTCTATACTACACATGGGAAGCACTAGGAATGAAGAAATGGCGGCAGCAGCTGGAAAGCCCCAAGGGGAAGGCAGAAGAAGGAGTTGAGAGGAATCACATGAGGCACACAGAGTAGGACTCTTAGAGAGGGCCAAGAATGCCTGTAGGTCTAGGCATCTATCTTATGTTCTCTCCCGTTTCCCTCAGTGCACCTTTGCCTTGTCAACTGCATTTTCGAGGAAAGCCTGATGTAAACATTACTTGATGTCATTTAACAGCTACTCAGGTCAGACAATCATGGCTGTCATTATGCTAAAATTGAAGTTATTTATGAATGTTCAGACACTTTTAAAATTTGTTTTATGGGCATGATGGCACACTTGGGATGCTGAAGCAGGAGTATCGTTGCAAGTTCTAGACCAGCCTGGGCTACAATGTAAGCTCAAGGCCAGCCTAAACTGCATAGTGACACCCTGTCTCAAAAACACACAAAAAATAAAAGCGAATACATTCTACAAATCAGAAAATATATTCTGACCCAATTCTTCCTGTTTCTCAATCTTTTTCACAAGTCATAGAGAGGCCACACTGACTCCATTTTATCCTGGACACATCCGGTCAACAATGTTTTAGGGAAAAGTACAGGCCTTAAAACATTGCCCCCACCCTAAGATAAAAACATGAAGTCCTATAAGGACAAGAAGCACACAAGTTATATAATCCAAGCATGTGCAATTTGAGTTTCTTTGTTCTTTATCTCAATAAAAGCTGCTTGCTTATGCAGGCCTGGCAGCAGCCATTTTGCTGACCATTAGTATGTGCAACCCTAATTTCCCCTTTGCTTGCAGAACCCCAACAATGAGTGCTATAGAAAGGGGATTCTTTAACAAAACATCGTACCTAACACCTCTACCAAACTAAACATGCACTTTTTTTCAGTTAACTTCTTTCTTCTTTGTATGCAAGTAAAGCTCACTGGCAAAGGTGTAGCCTCTATCGGCAAACTTCTGGCCAGAAAAGAGGACTCAGAGAAAATAACAGAACCATTGATCAGAAAAAAGAGGAGTGGCAGAGGAAAATACTTAGGCTGTGGCCTCAGTTGTGCATTCCCATGCAAGATGCCCTGATCTGCCACCGCAATACCAGTTGACTTCATTTGTCTGCTGAAGTTGATGGCTATGGACAAATCTCACCAGTACAAGAGCACTTCACTTTGGTGCATTCTTTCTAATGTGTGCAAAGTCCCTACAAGAACCATGCTTCGGCTCATACACATGATCACAGTCACCTCCAGGTGGCCTGATCTCTCACAGTTGTAGCAGCCCTGATCTAGCTCTTTCATGCTCCTTGTTGTCCTGGTGATGTGGCCACCTCTACTGCAGCAATGGTGGTCATCGTCCTGAAGATCACAATCCTTGGCAAAATGACCAGAGTGCCCAGGGTGTTAACAGATATCTGAAAGGCAGGAAGCAAGCTGGAAGCCTCTCTGTGAGGTAAAAGCACCTCACCACAGCTTCTCATTACAGAACCTCAATCAATAGGGTCTTCCCAGGCCCAGGGCCCAGACTGTCCCACTTGAGGCAGGCACCACTGCTCACGGCTGCTGTTGGATCTGTGCCATCTAAGAGGAGCCACAGCAGTGGAGACCTGGACACCAGGTGGAGAAAGCATTCTGGGGGCAGGTGGTAGCGGCTATTTATTTGCAGGGTCTTTGCCTGTGCTACAAGTGCATTTCCACACAGCCTCCATCCTTTACTTTTAATAAATCTTTCTCTTGTTATTCCTTCTGAGTGTCTTACTCAATTCTTTAGGGTATGAAGAGCCCAGAAACAAGGCCCCCTGGACCTTTTACCTTGTCAGTCCAAGGGAGATTTTCATGGGTGAGATCCCCAGATTAAATAACACACATGTACAAGACATCAGCAAAAACAACAGACAGCAGGGCACAGAGAGGAGTGCAAGAGCACAAAACTGCAAGGGAAAAAGTTCTGGGCATGAACAAGGAGGAGAACTAGTCAATGGCTCCCGAGATCTGACCATGGTGGAACTTGGGCAGCTGCACAAGAAAACAATTTGCCCACCCTCTTGGTAAGCATCCCTGGCACAAGCCTAGAGGAGAACCAGTCAGTGGCTCCCATTAGCCTACTAGCACATGGGCTGAGAATCAAATATCTTATCTCTACCCCTCCTCTGCTGTTACCAACTGGGGACAGAGGTCTGAGCATCTCTTGGATCACCATATGCAATGTAGCAAATATGGGGGAGCTCCTTCTGTCTTCTGTGTGAAGGCAAAGGTTGTTTTCACTGTTTTGTTATGATTGTTTTGCTCTATTCAATATTCTCTTTCAATTGGTTTTATAATGTCCCGCTATTGGTTTGATTTCACTATACCTCATTGACTGGACAACTATTGTGAAGATAATGAGATGTACCATAGTACCTATTACTGCTGTTCCAGTATCCTGCTGTGAAGTTCTGTACCAATTTCACTGCACTGTCTCAATTGGCTTTGTTCTGTCTTGTTCTGTTATATTTTTACTACCTTCAAAATAAAATTTAAAAAAAAGAAATTCTGCCTGTGTCTTGATTGTATAATTGTTATGCAGGTTGTTACCTCATATTTACACTTGTACATAGCACCACAACCTGCATGTGTGTGTTTACCTGTGCTAAGTCATGGTTTCTCACTGTGCAACTGTGCTAGATGAAGAGATTTGTCTTTAGACACCCCAGAGCTCTGAAGCAGACCCAGTGGACCCCAATGTACCTCCTAACCCCAGTGCTGCAGTAGGGTGGGACAGTGGGGTCAACATTCTTAAGCACTATCTAAGAGTTAGTGATTTAGAGACTCTGTCTGACAATAAAAATAAATAAAGGATAAGATGTACCACAGTGTGAATGTTCTATGTTTAGTCCCCAGTCCTTCCTCCCAAAATTAGACAACCTACTATCCAAAAGCTAGCCATCTTACAACAGCCTTAATGGCAACCTGGAGTCTCCTGACTCCAATCTGACTGCACCTTAATCAAGCATAAACTTGAGTTAGGTGGGGATGGTGACCAGCTGAGCTCCTTCCTCACATTGTCAGCAGCTGGTAGTATAGGAGTTCAAGGCCCCCAGCTTGAGGTTTGGGGTGGGGGCCTCAGCCTGTTGTCTAAATGTCTATGTGTCCACACTCAGACTGGGCATAAAACTCCACTGACATTAAGTCTAGGAGAGGATTCAACAAAACTGTAAGCTGGGAGGGTGCTGAATGCATGGAAGGCAGGACACATGAAGGCCCATTAGGTAAAGGCAGCTGTCTGGGAGCTCTGCCTTCTCTGCAGTGAGGCAGAGATTGGGAGGGCGGTGACTGGCTGGGGCTGGGAGTGGGAGGGCAGAGATAGCCCCACCCTGGAGTGGGTGGGTGGTAGCCTGAATGGAGGATCCCATCCTGTGGGCTGGGTGGCCTCAGGGGGATGTTCAAGAGCTCTGCTTCAGAGCCCTCATTTCCACACTACACTCACTTTGGACAGCAGATTTCAGAGTGACCTTACACAGTAGTGTTACTTGGAGAAGGTGCATAGAATATTTGACATGGCTCCCAAAGGTAAGTTGTTTGGTGGGAAGTTGGGGTGTGTTAAGTGTGGGGCAGGCTATGCACTGCATTAGTGTCTTGTAGGGGTTGGAAATTTTAGCTCTTAAAAGTATAAGTAAGACTATCCCAATTGAGGCAGGCACCACTGTGCTCCCAGCACTGAGGAGGTGGAGGCAGGAGTATCTTGGGTTTGAGGCCAGCCTGGTCTACATAGTGAAGTTCAGGCCAGTCTGAATGATGTAGCAAGAATCTGAATGATGTAGCAGGAGCCTGTCAGAAAAAAGAACAAAAATTACAGGTAGGAGCCAGGTGTGGTATTCTGGTGCTGTAATCCCAGCACGAGCCGATAATCCCTGCATTGGCATATAATCCCAGCACTCAGGAGGCTGAGGCAAGAGGATTGCCATAAGTTTGAAACCAGCCAAGGATACCTAGTGAGTTCAAGGCAAACCTGAACTATAGAGTGAGACCCATCTCAAAAGAACAAAAAAGTACACGTAGGAGGATCTCAAATTGGAGTCAGGTTTGGGAAACTTATTAAACTAATGAGAAGCCAAGAAATTTTAAAAGACCTGAGGATAATCTTCAGTGCAAACACTGTGGGTTCAGTTTTGAGAACTATGAAAAAATGCAAAAAGTAATCTAATAGGCTGGGGACAACCCATGTCACCAAGGTGACTGTGGTGGCTGAACACTGCAGTTGTGGAGTAGCGCTTTTTTGTTGTTGTTGTTTGTTTGTTTGTTTGTTTTTTCTTGTACCAAAATGAAACTGATGACTTGCAGGCACTTGTACTGCTGAGCTAAACCCCTGGCCCTGAGTAGCCTGTCTGAGATGGTGAAGTATTAAAAATGGACCTGTGATTATAGGAAAAAATTGTTTATATGTGTAGACACATTGTATGATCAAAATACGTGGTGCAATTTTGAATCAAAAGTTTATTCCAGAAAAAATGCAATGCCATTAGATTAACTACTCCTTTATGCTTTGAATTCACTTAGCTCATATTTCTTGCCAGTTTCTTCTTTTTCTTTTCTTAAAGAGAGAAGAAGCTCTTAAATTGACTTTGTAGCCTATGCAGGCCTCAAATTTTCAGCCATCCTCCTGCCCCAGCCTCAAGAGTGATAGGATTAGAGAAATGCCCTACCATACCTGACAGGACTGTCAGGCTCTGAAGCAGCTCCCAGGGTCTTCTACCCTGAGTCCGTCATAGCTATGGGGATGCCATTCCCAGGAAAGGCAGCCTCTATGGACAGCACTGATGCTCCTCTCCATAAAGGCCTTCAGACCTTTTCTGTAGATTGCAGGATTGGGCTCAGCACAAATGAAATTAATTCCACCCATGGAGCACTAATTTTGCCTCGGGATCTCAGCCCACAGCCTAATCTTCACATCTTAATCTCCCTGAGAGTCATTGATGGAGAAATAGAAAAAGAAGCCTCCATCATCTGTACCTTCTAGGCAGACCCTGCCCCCACTTGAGGCCCCTCCCCAGACAGCAGGTGAAGCACCTGGCCAAGGGATGGGAGCTGTCTTGCTGGGCCTCAGCACTGCAGGCTCAGTCTCCCAATATGCCTCAGGAGCCTCACTGAACCAGGAAAGCTAGATATAAGAAGGCACTTACAGCCTTTTGTCCTTAGGGACCTCTGGCTTTGGCTGATTGCCTTTGGGATTATTTGTGAGCACATCAGGGAAACCTGGGTTTTTCTGCGAGCTAGAACAGCTGTGGATGGAGACACAGCAGAGCTGGCACACAGCTGCCCAGCACTTCCCTGCTCCCAGCACCCCTTCCCTGCTACAAACAAAGGAAAACCAAATAACACTGTGCTCTTTTGGAATTTGTGTTGTCTGATACTTTATGCATTTCTGCAAGGAAGGGTTAAGATCAAGACTTACTGTATTTTGTGCAAATTTCAATTAATTTTAAATTCTCATCCTCCTCAGAACTTCATATTACAGAATTTGTTTTTCTGGTTTTTATGTTTTTGTTTTTGAGGTAGGTCTCTCTGAGGTCATGGCTGGTCTCAAACTCGAGCCTCTTTCTCAGAGCCCTGAGTACTGGGACCCAGTCCTGTGCCCACCTGGCATTACTATGTCACTGATCCCTTCAGCAGAGGCCAAGGGTTGGTGCAGGCAGCACAGTTTTCACTTAATTCAAAGAATCTATGCTTATCTTCGTATTAGTTGTTCTGTCCTTCTTTCCTTTTCTTATTTTCTAAATGAATATATTTTGAAATTGTGGTTCAACAGTATGAAATTTATCATCTTAAAACTTGCATCACCGCGGAGATGAGCAGTATCATTTCCCTTTGCTTTTCTTCCTTTTCTTATACTGGGCATTTAACTCTGGGCCAAGATCGTGACAGCAAAATGCTATGAATTTCTTCATTATATTAGCTACTGGATTATTTATTTCCATAATAAAAGCAGGCCTTTGAGTCATGTTTCCATCTTATTTAAAAAGCATGATTCTTACTCCAGGCATGGGGGCACAGCCTGCAATCCCAGCACTTCGGGGGCTGAGGGAGGAAAATTGCTGAATTGGAAGTCAGCCTAGGTTGCATAGTAAGATCAAAGTCATCCTGTAATACAAAGTGAGAGCCAGTCTCAAAAGAAACAAACAAATAAATGTGATTCTTCAGTTCTAGCTCTCCAGCAACATATATGAAATGCTCACTCTGGTTCACTAAGTAGTTTTCCACGTATTTCTCAGTTGAGAGAAGCTCCGTATTCTAGTTGGAAAGTCACACTTAGGATGTTGTGGTAGGAATTTAATCCTCACTGCAACGGTGTTAGCAGCTGTGTCCTCTAGGAAGCAATCAGATCATGGGATCCAACCTCAGAAAGGATGCTTTAGATTTTATTTGCTTTAGCTACCTGATAGTGGCTTTGAGATTAAGGCAAAATCTCTGTGCCTGAAATTTTCATAGGTAGATGCATGTTTTATAATCCCAGGCTGGTTCTTGGAGTAGAGATTTCTTTTTTAATCCTGATAAAGCAGAACATAAACTTGAGCATCTTTAGTTTACTCTCAGAGGCACTGTGTACAGTTCCACCTCCCCTTACAACTCCATCCTTCCCTTTCCATTTGCTGATCCTGGCACATTTGTTTCTGTTTGTTTATTTGTTTGTTTTGTTTTTAATTTCAAAAAAGGCACAGAGAAGAAACACAAAAAGCAAAAGAGACAAACAACTAAAAACCCAAAGCAATAGCAATATAGGCTTTCAAATCAAGATGATAGGAATTTAACAATGGTTGTTATATTGAGTATCATTGTATGCAAAAGGTTTGCTTAGATTGCCAAACATACACAGGCAAAGTTGATCTAATCATATGAATATTAACTGGTTTTCCAAGAACTAATAGAATTATGTTTTTTCCTTTTCCCTTCATTCATTCTTCCTTTCCCCCATCCCAGTTCCTTTTCTCCTTTGAGCAGTTTAAAATCTGACAATTTTCACCAATAAAATATTGATTCCACTAGGGCTCCATCTGCGCAATCCCTAGAAACTACCATTTTATTTACGTTATACCCAGGAATTAGTTGTCAAGTACCTCATACGCACAGACTTGGTGGGTGATACAGTAGTTTGATATTCTCGAAAACTGTCATAAAAGCTATACCACACTGCATTTACACTGATAACATACAATGTTTCCAAGTTCCATGTATCCTCAACCAGTTTGTTCCAGTTTTTTAAATAATAGCAATGGTAAATGATGTATGGTGATATTTGGCAGTAGATTTGATTTTGTTTCCTTAGTGATTGGTGATGTTACACGTCTTTCCATATCTGTGTCTTATTCATTTATTTAGAGGCAGGGTCTTGCTGTGTAGAGCAGGCCTGCCCTGGGTGCAAGGAAGGTCTTGCCAGTGAACCATTGTATGTCACTGTTCTCCACTTTTATATTCCAGCAAATTTTGATATGCCTAAGAATATTTCAATTCTCTGACAGTCTTAAAGAATGTCCTGTCATGCAGCTAATATTCTTAGGTGTGAATAGGTCTTACAAAGTTTACCTGGATGTTCTTCTCCTGTGATCAAGGGAGCCTCCTGCCTCAGAATGAAGGTTTTAGAGGAAGAGGCCTATGCCGCTACACCTGCATTAGGAATCTCATTTCAAAACCAGAAATCTCATTTCAGACAAGTGTGCTGATAAGCACCTCTAATCTAGCATTTGGGAGGCTTAGGCAAAATGATTGCTGTGAGTTCGAGCCCACCATGGGATATCTAGTGAGTTCATGGCCCGCATGCACTACAAGCAAGACTCAGTCTCTAAATAAACAAGTGAAATTTTGAAATTTCAGTTCATATTTATTATCATACTATAGACTCCTTCTTGTTTAGTAATTCCATTATAATAGGTAGGAGGCTACAGACATAAATCTTAAATTATGAATTGTTACAGCACACACGATCTTTTTTAAATGCCACTGGTATTCCCTCATACTTTCCTTGGTGTTTCCACATCTTTCAGGCTCTTCAAGTAAAAAGGATGATTATAAAAAAGCACAAGTCAAGCAGTGTGGAAAACGGAAAGCAAGACCTCCACACAAATTTACACAGGATGAATTACAGATTCTGAAACGATCATTTGAAGAGAATCCTTACCCTAATTACAGCACCAAGGTGGAACTTGCCAGAGTACTTCAGTGCCAATTGTATGTCATTGATGTAAGTCCAGTATTCAAAGTTCTATATGGATATATATTTTATAGACAATATGGGAAAAGAAAGAAATTATGAAAATGTTTTGTAGCATGCCACTTCACAGAAGAATTTTGGGAATCATTTTTACACACTTCAGTATAAGAATGTATGCATGACACATGCATCTTATGCAAAGAATAACTGTTGTAAGACAAGCTCAGGGGTAAGGACCAGTCTAGTAGTGTTCACAATTTTTGGGGATGTGAACTGTGATGTGAAGACCAGGGAGCTGGCTGTGGATCTCCTCAGCACTGGAGGACTTTTATACTTTGAATGTAGAACAGACAGCTTGCTGAGATACTGGCTACATAGTGGGAGAAGAACAGTAAGGGAGGGATCCCAGGCTTTGGCTTAAACCAATGGAAGCCTGGATTCATGAGGAATTAATAAAGGGAGGCTTTGGGGAGTAGCAGCTCTGTGCTGGAGACACTGGGGCTGTCAGTTTGGATATGTGAGGTTGGATATGCCAATGGAACCCCTAAGAGACGGCAGTGAATTAAAGGTTAGGAATAGTAGTATCAAGTGCAGGACAGACTAGACTTGCTCTTCTCCACCATGTGACATCTCTCAGTGTTCAAGATACTTCAAAATCCTACATGGCATAAAGCAGTGTATTTTTGGAGTTGTAATATATGGCAAGGTTGTTTTTTTGTAAATTATCATTAAAGATGCACAAAATCGTTCTGAATTTTAATTGTAATGGTTAGGACTGAGGATGTGGCTAAGAGGAAGACCAGATGCTTGCTTGGTGGAAGACTTTGGTTCAATTCCTACCATTTCAAAATTAAAGTACTATTTCATATACACTGTTAAGTTTTTCACATGGATTTATTCTGTCATTATATTTGGATCACTGAGTATGTTGGTTGCATGGCAAGCAGAGAAAATTTCCTCAGTGGAGCTAAGGATGGAAATTTTAGTTTCATGTTGGAGAATAAAAGCATAGGAAATGCACTGTACACGGGGAGCTTACAAAATTCATGAAGTAGAAAGTCTTAAAAGGACCTGCAAATCAATGATTTTACAAATCAATAGAAAACCTGGGGAAGAGTTTTGGTTTACAGTGAACGCCTTAGTGAATGCTCATGGTGTGATGGAGAAGCTGTCACGGATGGAGACAGGGTCACAGGTGGCTTGCACAACACAAAGTGTCGTCTGCTTTCTTGGTGGCATTCTGTGAGATTTACCTCCAGGTTAGTTTGTAACCACTTTAAAAAGTTCCACATTTCATCCTGAACTGTCTCTGAACACTGGTTCTGTTAGGAACAAACAGTATATGTGTTTGAAGGTATCACATTCATTATGAGTAAGACAATTTTATATTAGGCAAAGATGAATGTGTGTCAATGAGCCTTGTAGCTATTTTTGAAAGGCTGAGTGTGGAGACAGGGCCTAAAGAAATACCAAATACCAAAATGCTCCCAGAAACTACAGCCCGTGCTCAAGCCTCTACCTGCCCTACCAGCAACCTGGTTAACTACCATGGAGAGTCTACAGTAGCATTTTATCCTTTTCACATTTCCTCCCCAAATTTTGGGGACTCTGATTTTCATGAACACTTACCATCATTTTATGGAGGAGAGAAAACAGAAACCTGGAGTTGTTCTGTAAGATGTTTAGGGTCACAGAACCCAAATTACTGAGTTATGAAAAACTCTTCTTTCCTCTGTACATCTATAGGAATACAATGAATTTAATAACACAGTTGAGGATACATTGATGGTTAAGGTGTCATTGGTGGTACAGGGTGAGTAAATAATGTGTAACAATGTTTTTCTTGGAGAGTAATTTGTCTAAATGCTCAAAATTATAACTAGGTTTGAGACAGATCAGGGAAAGAGTTTCACAACCTCCATTTGCACATCATGAGGGGTCACTGAAAACCATGGGAGTAGGGAATAGCACACATTTCAAAACTTCCATAAGAAGTGCCACCAAAGGCAAGGTGGCCCCCATTTGTCATTTCTTCTTGTGGCCAAGAAGCAAGATACTAAGAATACTGAGTGAAGTTGACCTAGGAAAAGGTCTTTCATTTTAGAAATGCATTGGATATTTCTAGAAAACTAGATTTAATTGATGTGTTTTCCTCTTTGTCTTTAGAATTGGTTCCAAGGTCAAAGATGCAGACTACCACCTGCAGAGAAAAAGAGAATCTTTGCCATGAAAAAATTAAACCGTTTCCTTGTCCAGAAGTCTCAGTCGCTGCTCTCCCCTAATAGCCTGGCACAATTAGACAACTCTTCCATGCAGGACACCACCTTGCATGACCAGGAGACACTACTACACAGAGGTGGCTTCTCTTACCTGGAAACACAGGCCATTCCCAGTGGATGTGTTTGCTCAGGTGATGCTGCGTTCACAGGTATTGAAGAGGATCCAAGAAGTCCCCTGGAGTTTCAAAATTTACCAGAAAGTGGAGCTTCTTATACTTCTCCACCAGCCAAATTTATTTATTCTAATACATCTTTGCAGTATTTTGAAAGTGCCAGATATGAGCCAGAAAATAGCTACTATTCTTTGCCCTTTACTCCCCATGATATTTTCACTGGCCAGGGGACAGGCCAGCAGCAAGAAGGGCAGAAGGTCTATTTTCAGTGTATGACATTTCAAGGACAGCAGGGAAGCCCCTGGGAATACCGTGTGCAGCAGCTTCCACAGCCCCAGTATTACCTAGAGAATTACCAGTTGCCATCCCATGACCAATTTTTGGCAAACCAGAATCCAAGTGACTTAGGACAACAGGAGCCCAACCTTGCATCGGAACAGCAAAGTCCTGGGGCTTCTCTGAGCTCTCTGCTGCAGCAGGCGCCCATGCAAATAGCAGAAAGGTCTCCATCACCTCTTTGGTAAGGGATGCAGCAGGTTCCTGATGAGATTTCAATATCTGAAGTCCAGCAGCACCTTGAGAATGGCTGTCCACTGGTTAAACTCTAAGTGTGGTAGGAAGTGATAGAAGGACTGAGAAAGATAGATCACCCTGTCTGCACAGAGGGAAGGAAGGGAAAGGTCTGTCACTTGCAGAAATTCACTGTTTTTTAAATTAACTCCACCAGGATGATTAAGACAAGAATTTTGTGAATGTGTATGAAATAGTACTATTTTGAGTCATTGAATTACATATATACACAGTTACCACATTTCTGAAAAATGGCACCTTTACTTCTAGCAATTATATTTATTTTTATTTATTGCATGAGTTAAAACTGTCATGGTATATGGAATCACAACAGTGAGAGGCCAGAGCACTGCCTGCCCCGCCTAGCTTCAACTTCAGCTTGGGCATGCGTTATCAGTTTCTGCCAAGTACTCTTTTGGTTTCTCTTTCAGGATCTTAATATCATCTGCCTGTACAAATTTTGAGTTTTAAAATGCTTTAGTCTATGGCAAAAATGTGATTTTGTTTTTCTTTAAAGTTCTTGTAGTCATTTAAATAGATTTTTCTTACAGTAACTAATTTTGGTTAACTGGTCATTACTGTAGGGAGCTTCACCTCTGTGACATGTCAACAGACCCTTGTTTTAACGAATAATTTGTGTGTGCATAGTTTTCCCAGGGCGGTTTTCTTCTTGTCACTGTTTTGCCTCACTCAGCTGTGCAGTACCAGGACCTACAGCTACACCTCTGTGCCATCCTAAGGAACATTCTGTTCCACAGTAACTCAGCTAATCCAAGCATGTGTACTTAAGCATTGCTGGATCACTTTTCCTAACATGTTGATTCAAACTTTTCCATGGTATGTTCATGAATAAATTGTACTCATTTTTTACTTTCCCACTGCGATTACCGGTAGGGTTTGGGGGTCTGTTTAGTTAGTATGGAAAATGTGCTTTTATTATGATACTCTTAGATTCTTATACAAAATGGTATTTCTTCATTAAAGTTTTAAAATTTTCAGTGTCTGTGTTTGACCTCTCCTTTATGGAAGTATTTTTATACTTTCCATATTTTAAATGATTGTAAGATAATTGTTTCTTACCGAGTCATTTCTGGAAGTTAGTGTTTTGCAAGAATATGCTCATCAAAGATTTCAAGTTTCCAACCAAGAAATCATTCCAGATATCCCTATTCCTCTCATCCTTAGCCCACCTGCCCTACTTACTACTGTATTGTTCTGTTTTCCATATTGCTAAAAGTTTCTTCCCAGTTAAGCATGGGGGTCAGAGTCTGGTGCAAGCTGGCCAGGCTCCTACAGTTCTCCAGCCTGAGATTTGCTCTTTAGTTTCTGCTCTAAGACTCAGCCTGGCCCAAGAAATGCTCTCAGTGAAGCTGGAGGAGGAGGAGTAACCACAGCAAGACCAGAGCTGGGGTGAAGCAGATTCTTTTGTAAATATTTCAGTACCACCTGGTAAGACCCTAGGACTCTACAGCGATTTCCTATAGTAACTTCCCACACTTGGGAATTGGAATGTTCAGGAAAAGTTCCAGGTTTTTGCATTTTGGTTTTGACCTCTTTTAGTGTCAGGCACCCACTTAGGGGTACCAGTGAGAGGGAAATGTGAGCCTTAGCAGGAAGAGACCTTTGCAGGATGGTCATTCATACACAAAGAGTGCCTCAGCTCCAGGAGGGGTAAGTAGGATTTACAATTCAGCACTCAGATCAAATTATAAGCACTGCAGAGCAAGGTGGGAGCACCATTCTGGAGGAGGGGTTACGACTCATTCCCAGCTATGGTTGCTTAAAACTTCTTACAGGTTTTGAATTTAACACTTATGTGTAGTTCCAAAGATTTGCAGCCTGTGCAGGATTCCTGGGTGCTCACAGAGCAATCTCATTACTCTACAGCCAAAATAAAGGAGCCAGGGGCTAAAGAGTGCCAGGGGCTGGAGAATCTGCAGGAGGAGGCTGTGGCTCCTGAACAACTTGAAGGTCCTTGTAACTTTATCGCCACTCCTTAAAAACCTCTGTGCACAGCAAGGTCTCTTCCTCTCTGACCAGTCCAGCTGTTGTCCAGCAAGCCCTCTGTAGAGTTTTCAAGTGAATAACAAATTTAGTTTTTTGCAAAGTGTGTCATCACTTGGCTCATAGAAGATGTATTCAGAACAAATCCCCACATGAATGGTCACAGATGTTTCTATCAATTTTTATTGCCACATCTGGATTTTGGGTCTTCCTTCCCATCATGTCCTTGGTAATTCAACCCTGCAGTGGTTGAAAAGTAGCCATAGCATGCACCGATATCCTCACAGCTGGGAGAGGCCAGCACCACCTACCTGAGGTATGTATGTTAGATTCAAGCTCGCAGAAGGTCTTCCAATTTGTCCATCAGACAGCTGACAAAAATTCAAACCGAGTTTTATAAAACCAAGAATATATATTGAAAAAAAATAGAGGGAAGATTCATCATGCTTTATATAAAAGGTTATTCATTCCTGGGTACATTTTAACCCATATGAAAGATTCAAATTCTAATTGAAAAGTTCAAACCTTTTTTCTCACTAAAAAATTTTATGAAAGTCAGGAAATTCTCTTTTAGAGATGACATATTTACTATATAAACCAATGTATAGACCTGTAATCCCAGCTACTTGAGAAGTTGAAGCAGAAGAACTGAAAGCCTGAAGGCTGGAGAGAAATTAAGCAAACTTCTCTTTGATAATTGAAAAACAATAGAAAAGAGTGGGATGTAGATGAGGGGCAGAACATCCGTGGGTATAATGCCTAGATACACACACACACACACACACACACACACACAAGTCAATGTAAATAACAGTTTAACTCTTCCGCATCTCAAGTGTCAACTTTAACTCTGGCTAGAAGATTCATGTAAAGGATCCTGGACGGCCAACCATGGACTCAGTTTATCACTGAAAAGCAAGCTCTCATTAGTCATGTGTTCCTGAAAACCACCACAAACTGGGAAAGAAACCTTTGGTATTAGCACAGATGGCAAAGACGCAGGCAGAAACTTACACTTAAAATGCTGCTTAAATTCATCCTGAGGATCCAAAAAATATTTCCAGGTTTCTGTGGAAACTGCAGACCAACCGAGTGATCCCAGAGATAGGAACCTCCCAAAATGCATAGTGACTGGTTTCTTAAATACATGTTGATTTAATCACTTCAGCAATATTTGTCACCACCGAAAAGGCATTGGGGTCTGGGTAGGATGGTGCAGGTACGTAATCTCAGCACTTGGGAAACTGAAGCAGAAGGATCACTACAAATCAGAAGCAAGTCTGGGACCCACAGTGAGTTCAAGCCAGCCTGACTTAGAATGATACCTGGTCTAAAAAATCAGGAAAAAAATGACTTTGAAGGAATTCAACTAAGAGAAGTCTGCATGTAGATTATCCCAGGGAATCTTGCATCTATCAAAGCACCTGACCAGATATGCCTTTGCTTTTGAGCTCCTGGTTTGTCCATATGCATCATTTTCTACTCTATGATATTCAAGTTGTCCTATTTCCTAATAGTCAAAAGCTTGGTTAACGTGAGGAGAGACTCTGCTTATGCTGCACTCACATTTTCTGCAGCTTATCCTTGAACATGTGTTCCATTCATGTTGCTGCAGTTCTATGTCAAGTTGGCCAGCGTAAACTCCTTAGGTTGTCAATCAGTCACCAGTGTAGGAGCTGCTGTGAATGTGATTTTTTATTTATTAGTACAAGTTTGTGATACATAATGAGTACTTTCATAGTGGAAATTTGGTACATGACACTAAGTTTTTTTTTACAGCCCCTTCTATTGCTTCATTTTTATTTACACTTTGATTTTTCAAATGAAAGAAACTATGCAGTATTTATGCTTGTGCCTCTGGTTTATTTGACTTAACATATTTTCAAGGTGTGTCCATTTTCATACAAATGTTTCAGATTCATTCTTTTTATAGTAGGTTGCTATTTTGTTGTGTTTAAATACCTTTTCTTTGTCCTGATCTTCCACACAGCTCCCTTTTCAAAGGGGTCCTGGTTGGAGTTTTGATGAACTGCACATCCTCGCACTGTGGGCAGGCAATTTCCTGTCCAAAGCCTTAAAACTGGGGTACCCTCCTAACTTGTGTCCTGGTTTCAAGTTTCACCATTCACCTCTGCACACCTCCATGGATCCGATTGTCCCGATTGCTTTAGGAGGTTAATACCGTGGACTTCTCTGTGTCTCTCCTGCATAGTTTCTTTTACTTATAAATGTACACATATAGTGCCTCAAAGTCTCTGTCCTTGGTGCTGATTTCTGAAGCTGCCTGTTTCAGTTTTGCCCAGAGAAACAGCAGAAGACAGCTTTTCTGTTCTCCAGGCTCCCAGAGTCACTCAGTCCCTGCATCCTTCTCCGATTAGGCACAGAACCTCTTTTCCATCCTTCTGGCCTTCGCAGAAACAACTTGCTTGTTGACCCCTTCCCCTTGGGAGCATACCTACAATTAGGGCAAGACACTGTAAGTTTTGTCTACAACACTCCTGTTTTGGATGGGAGACAGGGTCAGCTTTTATTTCTTTTTTTATTATAAAACAAAAAAAGAATAAAAATGATGATACAGAATGTCAAAACAAAATAATAAGATACTAACAATTTTTAAGATATTGTGTTTTGCTATCTTCAAAGTAGTTATTCAGATTATAAAATATAGGCACGAAACATGATCAAAAAGGAAGCCATAAAATGTTCTTTTTGATGAACTAACAAAGATTAGTAGTGTAATTATCTATCATGTGTGTGTGTATGTATATAATCCTTTCCCCTCTTTCCTTTTAACTTTCCTCTATCCCAGTTGCTCTTTCCTTTTGAGAAGTTTTTTTCCCCTTTCACATTAACAATATCTATTCTACATTTTGGAACTTATTTACTTTTGCAGTTTGTTGCACTAGGGAGACAGTATGATATTTACACATGCAAGTCTGATTTATGTCACTCATGACTATGATCTGAAGCTGTATCCATTTACCTATAAAAGCCTCAAGTGTATTCTTCTATGTAACTGAGTAGTACCCCATTGTATAAAAATACCACATCTTTTTATCCATATCACAGTTGATGTGCATTTGGGTTGTTTCCAAAATTTAGCTATTACAAATTGTGCTGCAATAATCATGGGTGCACATATAACCTCCAATCCTAGTTTTTTGAGGAATCTACACACTGATTTTCACAGTGATTGTACCAGTCTACACTCCCACCAACAGTGGAGAAGGATTCCTTTTCCCCCACAACCCTGCTAGCATTTGTTATTGGCTATTTTCTTGATTACAGCCATTCTTCCTATTGTAAGATGGACTTTCATTGTTGTTTTAATGTATAGTCCTGAAATGATCAGTGATGTTTAACATTTTTCCATATATTTATTTTCCATTTGCATTTCTTCATCGAAGAAGTGTAAGTTAATCTCAGATGCCCATATTTTTAATCTGGGGAAACTGACTTTTAAAATTCTTTATATGTTCTAGACAGAAGTAGTTTGTCAGAGGGACAGTTGGATAAAACTTTTTCCCATTCTGTGGGTTTTCTTTTCACTCAGTTAGTGATTTCTTTTTACATATAAATCTTTTTAATAAAATGAAACCCAGATTGTTTCTTTGAAGTGCTTGCAGTGCAGTTTGAGTTTTGTTCATGAAATCTCTACCCACCCCTGTCTTCAAGATCTCTACCTACCTTATCTTCCAGGAGATTTAGTATTTCTATTTTAATATTTAGATCTTGATCCATTTTGACCTTAGTGCATGGTATTAGTCTTTGATATGTAGAAATGCAAATTTTCCAGCACAATTTATTAAATAGGATATATTCCAGCGAAAATGTTTGGCTCCTTGTCAAAGAAAAGATGGCTGGGTGTGTTTGTCATTGTGTCTGCATCTTTCAATCTGTTCCACTGGTCTTCAGGTCTGGCTTTTTGCCAGTGCCATGCTGAATTTGTCACGGTAGTTTCATAGTGTAATTTTAAGTCAGAGATTGTGATT